AGATAAAGCAGAGAGAGAGAAATAGATAGATGAAGATAGACGGAGAGCAATAGCCAGAAAGAGAGGGAGCGAGAGAGGGGAGAGATAGAGATAAAACAGAGAGGGAAATAGATGGATGAAGATAGAGGGAGAGCAATAGCTAGAAAGAGAAATAGATGGGTAGCGATAGACAAAGAGAGGAAGATAGAGGGAGGGCAGGAGAGAGAGAAAGAGAGGGCGGGAGATAGAGAGAAATAGATAGATGAAGATAGAGGGAGGGAGAGAGGGGAGAGATAGAGATAAAGCAGAGAGAGAGAAATAGATGGATGAAGATAGAGAGAGAGCAATAGCCAGAAAGAGAAATAGATAGCTAGCGATAGTCAAAGAGAGGAAGAGAATAGATGGAGGGAGGGAGGGAGATAGAGGTAGAGAGAAAGAAATAGAGGGAGAGTTAGGTAGTGAAATAGAGGGAGAGAAAGGGAGACAGATGGAGGTAGAGGGGAAAGAGAGAGGGGATAGAGATAATGCAGAGAGATAAATAGATAGCTAGCGATAGACAAAGAGGAAGATAGAGGGTGAGGGAGAGAGAAATAGATGGATGAAGATAGAGGGAGAGCAATAGCTAGAAAGTGAGGGAGGGAGAGAGGGGAGAGATAGAGATAAAGCAGAGAGAGAGAAGTAGATGGATGAAGATGGAGAGAAAGCAGTAGCTAGAAAGAGAAATAGATAGCGATAGACAAAGAGGAAGAGGAGGGAGGGAGGGAGATAGAGGTAGAGAGAAAGAAATAGAGGGAGAGAAAGGGGAGAGAGATGGGGATAGAGGGGGAGAGATAGATGGGTAGATGGGAAAGAGATAAAAAAAAAGAAAGAAAAAAAAGGTAGGAGTCAGAATTAAAGGTATGCTTACCAAGAAGGGAATGCCTTCAACGTCTTCACTCCACCAGTTGATCAGAGGACGACAGACTTCCACAGACATCCAAAGCAGTTAAGGAGTGGGCGTGGCTTGGTTTCTAGGAGACGTTTGTCCTCTTCTTCACAACGTTATTCCTGGAACAACAACAATCCAAACAAAAGTTTTACTGAGGGCATTCTCTCTCCAATCTTTCACAACAGTTCAGGTGAACAGTCAATCACATTTTTATCAAAATTAAATTCAACATTGTTTTTGTTTTTTTTTTGTTTTTGTTTTTTTAAGAAAAGCTTTGTTTGAACTAAACCAAAGTGTCAAAGGTCAGTATGTAATGTTAGAAAAGAATCTGATGTTTTATCCCACATTGCCCACATTTTTTTCACACTTTTGGTATGACCAGTCTATAGTATAGAGGGTTCCCAACACCGGGTGCAGGGACTGGTGATGGTCCATAGGTTATTTGGTCCCAGCCACAGTGGGACAAATTTACTTCATTCAAAAACAATCCAGTAACAACTGATACCGGCCGACAGATCTTTGGTACAAAAAAGTTCAGGGACCGCTGATTTAAGAGAGTCAATACATAAAGTAAAGACCACACACTGGTCAGTGGTCCAGCTAAAAAGGGGGCGCGAGATGTGCCGTGGATACAGAATGTTCACCTTTTACTCTAGCCTATTACAGAAA